GTTCTATTTCATGAGCAGGTTTGGTCAGCCACATAAACTGGGAATTGGGAACCACCAAGATCATTCTTCAACAAATATGTACTATATACCAGGCAATGTATATATAGTGAACAAAACAGATGTAGTCTTCGCCCTCACAGAGCTCACAACCTACTAGGGAGACAGGCAGTAACACATACATATGCTATGAGGAAAACAAACAGCAGGTGGTAACAAAGAATGAGTGGGGGTGGAGGGTGGAGGGCTGCTAAGATAGGGTGCACAGCTCAAAAGGCGAAATTCATGCTGAGGCTGAAGGATAAATCAATTCTGCAAAGAGAAAGGGAACAGCAGCAGAGTTAGGTTCTAAAGGTGTGTGTGTGGGATCATAGGCTGCAATGTCAGCTTCAGAGAAATATAGTCACTACAGCACATTCCCCAATCTTCTGTTTTTTCAATTACTTTGCTATTGTTTCTATCACCACTTCTCCTTTTCTGGTGGTTGAGATCTTCCTGGCTAAAAAAAATCATGGCCATGAACTCCGAAGAATGTTAAGATTATCCACTTCCAAATAATCCTAATTTTCTTCCAGTCTTTATAACTGATAAATTCATCTCGAAGTGACAACTCTGTCCCAATTGGGAAAGAGTGTTTCTCTCTATTAGCTTTAATTTTTTGATTTAGAGCCTCCTGATTGCTAATCAACAGGGTGTGTGATTACTTCAACAATTACTTACAGAATGTTATTTTGTCATCAGAAAAATGCACTGCTGCTTTCTGAACTCTAGGTTACTCTAGAGCCTAGGCAGAGTAAATGTACCTAAAGCAATCCTTAAACCACTGGGCATTCTCAGATCTACTGCTGCAGCTACCTGTTAAATTATGAGAGCCATGTGGTATATTGGAAAAAGCTCTAGATTAGAAATTAGAGGATGTAGGTCCCAGATCTGCCACTTTGTTATGCAAATTTAGGTAAACAGTTTCCCTCTTTTAGGCTTAGTTTTCTTATTGGTAAAGTGGGAATACAAAGAAGTTGCATTTTACAAAAATTCAACTATGTGTGCTTTGCAAAAAATTTTAAATACCAATTTGAATAGCTTTCAATGAACATGCCCTGGAGTAAGCATTAGCTGGAAAGCACCAATCTGTACATCAATCAGACTCAGTTCTTACGTGCCTCTCATTGATAATCCTGCTCCGCTGTATGATTTTAGTGTTTAAAGACTAATAGATTTATTTATTTGCTTAGGACCATATTCCTACACATAATCTACTTGCTTCCTCTAGGGCTCAAATGAAGAAATAGATGTGACTTATCTCTTGTTTACTTTAAAGCCAAACAGGTGTACTGACTCTACTATGCCACTATAAACTGCTGGCATAGGAACTCATTAAGTCAAAGTTGATGGAGCCCTAGAAATACTGCTGAGACTTGATTTACTGATTATTTATTTTATTAATTACCAAGTATCAATTTTATCAACTATGCTACTATCCCAATAGAGCTGGGTCTAGGGCACAGATAAATTAACATATGTGGAAAAATGGGAAATGTATAGCTATTCATTGTACAATGCCTTTAATAAAGATCAGAAAAAAACCTAAATGTCCAAAAGGAAAGGACTGATGAAATGGTACACAGTATAATGGAGTATTATGCAGCCATAAAGAATCATGAGTAAACACTTCACATAACAATATAGAACTTGTAAAATAAATGAAAAAATAGGGTACATTAATTATGCATAATGCATTATTTAGGTTAAAAAAGGGACAAAAAATAAAGCACATATAGTACTTATTTGCTTGGATATGCATAAAAATTTTTTGTAAAAATATACAAGAAACCATTAGCATTGGTTGTTGCTTGGCAAGGAACTGGGGGGCTGAGGGACAGGAGCATAGTGAAGACTTCTCACTACACATCCTTTTTGCCTTCTGAATTTCGAACCATGTGTATTACTTACTCCAAAAGAATACACAAAATTTAGGGCTCTTCTTTATCATACTGTCTTTTCTTTTGTGTGGGCAAAACAGAGCCAAGTAAGTTTAGGCTATATAATGGGCTTACATAAGATTCATGTAAATTTTAGATGCTAAAGTAGAAAATAACCTCAAACTCTCAAACTACTAATTTCTTGTGTGGTCACTATATGGCTGCATTTACAAATAGGCTGTGCAATCTCCATCACTGCACATATTACTGTATGAAAAATGAACTTTTTCCATCCTTTTATCTCAATTTTCTATCCTCTATTTCTATCCTTGTACTCTCAAAATTCACTGAGGGTAAGAATTAAAAAATCTTAACTTTTTAAATATACAAATGCTTAGCACAGTGTAGTGCCAAAAATATTAATACAGGTTCCCGTTCCTTAACTAAAAGGGGCCAGATGTTTTAGGAATAAGAATTTCTTAGAATTAAAAATGTTACAAGGTACATAAACCACTGACTCACATTATCAGTCACCAAGGGCAGTATCCCATAACCAAGTATTTTAAAACTTCTTCAGCAAAACATGGGATAAATAAAGACTATATGTAACTTTTCAGTTCAGGCCATATTTTGCTACCAAATGAATTTTGTCTCCAAGTTTAAAGAAGGTTTTGGTTTGCAAAGCCTTCTGAATGGTGGAATAAGGTAAGAGATTACAGACTGTACCCACAAAAGTGCAGCTATATGGTTAGTCACTTCAGCTCCCATCTTTTTGACAAGATCAGACAAGCAATCATAGCAGGCAACTTTAAATCCCAGGTTTGGGCCTAAGATTTGTTTTTGTGATAAACAAATCCAATCTAGCAGAGGGGGCAAAAGCTGACAATATGAGAAAAGAAAATGGAAAAAAAAAAACGAATTGTGTAACACTGTATTATTACTGCAGCTACTTACTAGTTATTAATTTAATAAAAGCTCCCTTTGATGAGATCACGTTAGTTTTTGAATGTGAAGAGGTATATAAAACTGTTCCACACTGCTGACAATGGGATAGAGGCAAGCTTTAAACCTATTATACTACCTGGAAGGTGAGCTCGTTTAGGCACCAGTGTACACAGAAAGCATTCCAAATACATTACTAAGGAATAAGCAGAAATGTACACAATTTTCTCAACTTCTCCATTACTCTAATATAAAGGAAGAGAGTCAAATGCTCCTGATGGTTCTATATTATATCCTTCTTTTTAGCTTAAAAATTCTTATATGACTTTTTTCTACTTTACAAGGAGAAAAGCTCTGGAGTCAAAACAACACACACTAAAATCCTTTCTTTTCTTGCCACAACCCAAGCCCCACCTCCATTTTGTTTCTGTTACTGTTAAATATTTTTTCCTGGCAAGAAAAACAAATTTGCACTAAAAGACTATAGATTAATTTTGCAGGCAATGTTTGGTATGATTCTGTTTGGTGATGTTGACTTTTTCATCTTAAAATTTAAGCTACATTTGAACAGAATCCATTATTTTGTTCAATTTATGAAGTTAACATTCTGCAAGTGTTCATTACAAAAAAAGAACAGTAGTGCATTCCATTATAAAAATGAAAACAGCAATGGTGAACAACAAACACCTTCTTGAGTTTTGGGTACTATTTCAGGAGGATATACCACGTTCTCACATTTTCACCGTAATTCATTAAAAAAGTAAAGAAAACCTAACCGGCTAGATCTTAGAACAAATACCAGCATCTTAATCACCTAGTACAATAAAAAAGATAAATAAAAACTAATCAACCTATTTTTCAGTCCTGAGAAAAAAAACAACTAACTCCCTGTTAGATTTCATGGCCATTTGCATTCCGAGATACCGAAAACTAAAAACTCCTTCTTACTTAAGAATTCCTTGGTACACAGGGCTTGTGTGTTCTCCACACCGCCCCATCAAAATTATCAGCACGATTCCAGGATAAATCATTTAGTTACAGACCACTACAAAACCCCACAGTCCAAAATGCCGAAGGTGGCTACTCTGTAAAGAAATGGTCAAAGTACAATATTGTTATTTTAGGACACTGAACCAATCAACCGAAAGGATTTCTGGAATACGCTGTCCCCAAGATTCGAATGCAGACTCAGAAATAGCACGCGCGGTCACGATGTCCCTTAAACCACCTGACTTTCCTGCGAAAGCAGATCCTTAAACTTGTAACTGAACGAGAACTCCCCCTTTCTCTGGAGTTAAAACGAGGCAGGGCAGTGGGAATCAGCGCAGCAGGTACGGATCTGCTGACTTAGCAAGGATGGGTCATGGGTAACAAAATCTCTTGTGCTTTGGCTACTCCCCTTACCGTTAGAAGATCTGGGAGGGAGGAAAAGAGGAGAAACCCCAGAATCCTGGTAGAAAGCCCCTGGCCTCGAAGATTGGGTTTAGGGAGACAGGGAGGGGCAGCTCCGTGTGTGGTGACTCTTTGTGAACACGCGCTCTGGGGCCGCTCGGCTCTCACCGAGGCTTTGGGAGGGCGGACTATGGGGGCCACGCGCGGCTCCCAGCTGTACTTCCGACGCGCTGCAGGGACGCACCGGCCGAGAGCCTTCATTGCAACCTCCGCGGGCTTTTGGGAGCCTTTCCCGCGCCCGGGCACCCACCCACCCGGGTGCACGTCGACTTCCGACCCGACTCTCGCGGCCAGGGTGCCACCAGACGCGCGGCCATCTCTTTCCTCAGCGTAATCCCTCCGCTGCCCGCCGCGCACTAGTTTTGATCACGCTCCACCCCCCCTGTCGTCGACGTCACCTCCGCCGCTCGAGCGCTTTTCCAGCAGCTTCCAGAAACGTCGCGTCCCCAAACCCAGCCACTCACAAACGGCGGGCTTGGCAGCCGCCGGCCCCGCCCCTAGTCGTTACCGCTGCTGAAACTGCGACTGCGGCGGCCAAGCGGAAAGCCACGCCTCTGCGGAGGCTGGCCGGAAGTGGTCCCTCTTCGCCTTCCCCGCGGCGCTTACGACGTTTCAGGCCTCGTGCGGAGCAGGAAGGGACCTCTTTTGCCGCGGACTCAAACCGGAAGCGGCTTTCCTAGAGCAGAGGCCGGTGGGGGAGGAGCAGGCAGAACGGAACGTGGGTTGAACGTTCTGCTGGGTAGTGTGGAGCTCAAGCTGGTACAGGAGTTCAGATCGACCTGGTGCATAGAAGCGGAGTGCCCGTGGCAGGTAAGGGAGAAGTCGTTTCTTTCAGCACCCGAGGGAGGGGAGCGGGAACAGGGGTGGGGACAGGGGACTTACCTTGGGGGGTAGTCTGCATGCTGGAAGGGTGGGCTAGGCTGGGAGAGGGGAGGGGTTGGGACTAGGTTCAGGTGGGAAGGGTTGAAGGTACGAAGATAGTTACAGATTGGTTTTGGCTCAGAGAGGTAAATGCTGAAGAGAAACCAGAGATTTTTTTTTTTCCTTCGTCTCTCGAGGAGTGTGGAGATGGGGAGGGATAACGGAGCCCTGCGCCGCCTACTCGGGTTTCCAAGGTTGGGTTTTGAAACTGACCCCTCTTGGTCCTATCCGTCTCAGTTTCAGGATGGCTGGGTTTGGTACCAGACAGGTCTGGGCGCCGAAATCCCACCCGGTTTCTCCGCTTCAACTCTGTTGTGGCTCCTCACCTTTGACAGTTAACGTGCGGAGCTCACTTGTTCTTGGAGCGGCAAGCTTAAGCCGAAGGCTCCTCCTTGAACAACTGGTGCCTGGGTTTTACCGTTTTGCACATAGGACTATGAGTTAAGCTTGATTACGTATCTTTTGCTATTTCCAGAGCCACCTTTACATATTCATTGCACTGTAACTGGGTCCAAACTGTGCTAGCAATGCGCATTCCGGCGTCAAGAGCATCAAGGGCTCATAAAAGTAATGAAAAAGAGGGCGGCAGAAAAAAAGATACTGGGGGCGACGTGGAGTAGAGGAGGGTAAGACTGGAAAGCCAGGTTGGTCTCACAGTGCAGTGAGCTTTAGGTTATAATGCTTACCTTTAGGTATATGTACTGTGTTGTCTGGATTCGCCTATAATAAGACTGGAGTTAATAGATGATTTTAGACTGAACAGCTACAGACTCAAACTTGTTTAGAAAAGCCTCACTTTGGCAGTGATATGGCTGTGGGGGTTGGATGGAAGGAGGTGTGGGGATTTGAGATGCTTCCAAAGAGCCATCCACAGAATTTGGTGGTTTTCACCACGTGAAAAAGAGAGACGTGAAAGAGTACCGAATCACTCAAATTTCAAGTACCTCTAGGTCAGGTACCTACCTAGATTTTGGAAAATATAGGAAAGAGGAGACAGTTGTATTTAAAGGGAGAACAATGAAGGTGGTCATCTAGGGACAAATTAAGTTGTAAGACTCACCCCAAGGTTTTGTATATAGGACAAAGTAAATTGTATTTAGAAGACCTGAATAGCCCACCTCTGGTATTTTTTAAGTGAATTTTCTTTTCAGGGGGTTCTGCATATTCAGAATCCAACCACCACCCTACCATTTTTTTTACCCAACCTGTTTTTCCCATTGAAGTGTTGGGTGGCAGGAACAGGAGAACAGATTTGAAGGCACCTCATGTTTCATAATTGAGAGAGAGAACCAGCCAGAACGTTTTCTAGGTTTCCTGCAGGCAGATGGAAATTTTCATCAAAAACAGTTTATTCAAGATACATAGCCTACTAGTTTTTCTTTTGAGACTACTGCAGATTGCTACTAAACATACTGCATATTTTGTACATGGGGGAAAGTATGAAATTAGCACCAAATAAGTAGTAGCTAAAATTTACTAGGTCAGGTGCTAAGCATTTTACACTTATCATCAAATATAATAACTCTTAGAACAAACTAGTTCTACAGATTTCTGAACCAAGAGCTGCATGTGTAAGGCCCATGCTTTTAGCCACTCTGGAGCCGTAACACTTGACTCTTACCTATATAATTCCTTTTGTAAGTAGATTATGAATAGAATCCGCCAAAAATAAATTGATGGTGTCTGTGAGGAGCTTAAAAAGAAAAAGCACCAAACTTGTTTTTACTTCTTGAGTGGTTCTCAATGGGTGATTTTGCCTCTTAGGGGACATTTGGCAATGTCTGGAGACATTTTTGCTTGTCAGACTGAGGGGTGAGTGCCAGTTGCATCTAGTGGGTAGAGGTCAGTGATGCTGATAAACATCCTGCGATACACAATACAACCCTCACAACAAAGAGTTCAGTGGCCCAAAATGTCTATAGTGCTGTAGTTGAAAACCCTGACTTAATGTATATTTCCTCAGAAATAGAAAATTGAGATACACTGATACTGATTTTTCTAAAAAGCATTTTTATTTTTGAAATTATTCTGGGACTTGAAAGGTGTGTAACGTATATATAGCTGGAACAGGATATCATAAGTCATTTTTAAAGTGAGTCTGTGAGTAGCAGTTTCCCAGGAGTTTGTTGTCATTGAACCGTGGATTCTTAGACTTGGGCAAGACTTGCTTGAAATGATTTTACAGCAGGCCTGCTAAGTGGTGATTCACTCTGCTTAAAGGTCTCCTGTGTCTGATTCCATGTATTTTAAATCCATATCTAAACTACTCTTAACAATTCTTTCTTCCTTACCCTGAGCTCCAGTCTTACAATTTCGACTTTTACTGAATGTGATTCTACTTAATGGGACTGCACTCAAAACAGGCCTGTTACATGTGTAATTTGTACTGTGACGGTGTGTTTTTGTGGTGGTATAGATAATTCCCTGTAAAGTAAAATAGTATTTGTTGGTAGCTTTTAAAAAATAGCATTATTCTCAGTTGGTGACATAGTCTTGGTGACTGAAAGCAGTAGGATGATATGAGGTTCTTTTGTCCCTGTCAAGTAACAGCACAATGCATTTAGGGTTTTTAAAGTACTTTCTTAGTGTAATGCTGATATATTTGTTTCAAATTGTGCATAGGCTTCAAAAAATTTATGTTTTCAACTTCTGGTCAATACAGTTTGCTTTAAATAAAAGTTACCTCTATGACACATTTTGATGAATTTGTTTACAAATGAGTCCACTGTAAAAACTGGTCCTATTGCGAGTCTACCCTCTCCCCACAACTTTGCTAGATTTATAAGTATATTTAGGTATTTTGTTTTCACTTCAAGACTGCAATTTTAGAATATGTTATCTTAGGATGTATAATTCTCAAAATTTACTTAACATGTGTACATCTTGTAAAATAGCTCGTTTTCAAGTAAGTAGGATTTTTATTTAATTGTCTATTGACTTTTTTTTTTCAGGGTTCATTGACAAATCCTTAGTGATATTGACATGTTTCAAGTGACAATAAATTAGCCAATGACTCGGAATGATGGATTCCCCGAAGATTGGAAATGGTTTGCCAGTGATTGGACCAGGGACTGATATAGGGATATCTTCACTCCACATGGTGGGGTATTTGGGAAAAGTTAGTGAACTTATATTTTGCCTCAGTGCAAAGTCAGTTTTTTTTTTTCCTCCTGTTTTTGAGACTTAAATTTGGTTTAATTTGACCAGTTAACTTATAAAAAATTGTATCTTCCACGGAAATCTTACAGCAATGGCGAAAGATTATTTTAATATGTTTACCTCTCTGTGTTTTATTGATATGTGAAAGTAGAAATGAAACATAGACCTTACGGGTTACTACTATTCTCTGAAAATATGGACCAGACATTTTGCTTGACAGTTCACATTACTTTTTCTCTTGCAATAAGACTGATGCTATTCTTAACATTTAAAATTTGATATTTAAAATTACAGTATATTCTTTTTGGATTAATAGCTGTATTTAAAGGCTATATGCATTTCTTTTATTTGCCACATTTAAAATATCTTGCCTAGGATACTTACAGGTGAAAATTGTAATTTTTTTCTTGTTACTTTTTGTAATTTTATACAATCTAGGAATGTCTGTATTTTAATTAATTTTATTTCTCTTTTAGAGTTATGATCCTGCTAAAGTCCCATCCGATGGGTATTGTCCTGCTTGTAGAGAGAAGGGAAAGTTAAAAGCCTTAAAGACTTACCGAATTAGTTTTCAAGAATCTATCTTTTTGTGTGAGGATCTGCAGGTAAAGTATTAATCTTAGATGGTATTGAGATTTTAGCCTTCTACTTTTCACTCCTGTGTTTAAATTTGTACTCATTTTGTATTTTTTAGAGTGTACATTTAATACATTAGCATTTTTAGATCTGTCTGGTATACAGTTTCAAATATTTTGTTATTTTTTCACCTAGCTTCCTGAGTTACTGCATGCAGATGTTTGTTTTTCTTGTCATTAGATCTGTGAAAGGAGAAAATACATTGCCAGATTGATTTTTTTTTGTTTGTTTAACCTTATGGGGGTCCATATTAGCTGTGTATAGCAGTTACTCTCTCATGTCTTAGGTTTATTAACTTTGGGACTTACTGGAAAAGTTACTAATCTCTTGTTATGTACTTGAGGCTCTAAATATCTTAGAATTAATTATAATAATTTGTACTGACGGGTACAATTTTTATATAGGAGCTTGTTAAACACTATAACACTCTATATGTTACTGTACTTGACACTTTGTGAAAGTGTTTTATACACATAATTCTCAAAACTTTGCAAGATAGGTATTCCTGTTTTATGAATACGAAAACAGGTGCAGAGGGTTTCGGAACACAAGGTCGTCATAGAGTGGCAGAGCAGTGATTGGCATACAGTCCATGTTTTATTCTAGGTAAAACTAGCAGTTCATCAGAATTATTTGAGGGGCTTTCTAAGAATTTCTGGGTCTTATCCCCAGATGCTGAGTTAGTAGAGTTGACCCAGAATTTTGTAGTTTTGTACCCTTTGAGGATGAGTCTAATGATCAGCCAAGTTTGTAAAATACTGGACAAAAATCACACTCTGTTGCAGTGTACAACTGGATGGCAGTACCAGGCATTCTTACAAACGGAAGTAAATTTATTTTGGCAGTTATTATAAAAAATTTTCTTTTGAGCGTCACTGTCTTGGCTCCATTCCAGGCCAGGTTACAGTGAATGAAGCAAATATTTATTGCTCTCAAGGACGTTATGTTCTAGAGTGGGAAAGAAAATAAAGTATATGTTTTTGTGTGAGGTGATGCAAAGTGTTGTGGAGGAAAAAAAGTCCGCAGGGAATGGGTACCTTGCAATTTTAAATCGAGTGGTGAAAGGGACTCTTTATTGAGAAAGTGACATTTGAGCACAGACCCAGAAGAGATGAAGGGGAACAAACCATGTGAATACTGGAAGCATGAACCATCCAGACAGGGAGGGTAGCAGATACAAGGCTCTGAGAGTGGCAGCTTCCTGTCCATGTTTGTGCTACTGCAGGGAAACTAGCAGAGCTGACCCTGAGGAAGTGAAGCAGGGTAATAGACTATGGGTCAGAAAATAATGGGGAGGGGACTGGACCAAGGAGGGTCTTACCCTGCCTGGATAATGACCAAGTAGGCCATTGTAAGGTGTCTGGCTCTGCTCTGACTGAAATTAAGAACCATAGTAGGGATAGTGGCAGACGAGTGACATAATCTGACATGCATGTTAAAAGAGTCACTGTGGCTGCTGTGTTGAAAATACATGTGATGGGCAAGACCTGAAGCAGGCATGCTAATTAGAGGGCTACTAGGGGAGCAAGTAGTGGCCAAGGTGATGGGGCGTGGTTGGGCTCTACGTGTATTTTGAAACTACAGCCAGAAGGATTTGCTGAAAGATTGGAGTACATGTTAGGAAATGGAGGAATCCAGGTGATTCCCAGATTTTTGGCTTGAATAGTTGGAAGAATGGAGTTGCCAGTTACTGAAATGAGGAAGATCTGGGGGAAAGATCAGGAGGCCAGAACCAGTCAAACTTGAGACATTTGTATCTATGGATATTTGGAGTAAACAATTGGATCTTTGTATTGGGTGGAGAATTGAGATTGGAGATACGCATTTGGGAGTCATCACATGTAGGTAATTGAACCATGAGACTGGGTGGGTCTACTTGTTTGGATGGGGAGGTTCAAGAACTGAGCCCAGAATTCTCCAGTATTATGAAATCCAGGTGAGGAAGTGGAACCAGCAAAAGAGAGAAGTGGACAGGGAGGTATGAGTAAATCCAGGAAGGAGAGTGTATTGTCCTGGAACTCAAGTGAAAAAAGTATTTAATGAAAGAAGGGAATGATTTACTGTCATTGCCATTGAGGACTCAAGGAGGATGAGGACTCAACTTAGAACTGACTGGAGTGTCAGGGGTCAGTGAAGCCCTTGATGAGAGAATTTGGTTAAGTAGTAGTGATGAATGCCTGATTGGAGTAAGTGGGAGAAGAGAAGAACTGAGAAATACAGATGTGAGGTGGCATGCAGAGAGGGTAGTTTTTCTTAGTTGTTTTCAAGTTGGGAAAATAACAGTGTGTTCGTATGCTGGTGGTATCCATTGGAGAGAGAAAAATAGGAGAAAGGGTCACAGAATTGCTGGACAGATATTCCCTGGTGCAGACAGTGGACTTCATTGTCCAGGTGGAGGGTTGATTTTAGGAGATTTGACAGTTCATCTGTACAGCGGACTATACAGTTCACTAATTAACTAGCTCAGAGTAAAGTTGTAGGATTGTGAACACTGGAAAGTGAAAATCTTACAGATTCTAGAAAAAAAATTACTGTTTTTCCTCTTCTGAAAAATATGTAATATTTCAGTAGAATTCTTTAAGGACTACCATAATAGAAAAGTCAGTGTCCTCAGGACATAGGTAATGGCTATTAAGGTTAGATGTACTATTTACATTTTTAGTGTTTGAAGCATTCCTCCTTAAGTGATAAAAAAATGTATAACCAAGAATTTTAAGTATATACTTTGCAAATGTAAAAAAAGAACTTCAGAGTAATTAGTCATTGATGTAATTTTTAGAAAATATTCTAGTCAGTAAGAACCCAGTGTATTTTTTCTTTTTAGTGAAGTGTTCGTTGATACACAGTCTTATGTTGGTTTCAGATATACAGCACAGTGGTTCAACAGTTACCCGTGTCATTATACCCTCACCCCCTCTAGTGCGGTTATTATCTATCAATGTAGAAAGATGTTATAGAATCATTGACTATATTCTCCATGCTGTACTACCATCCCTGTGTCCAACTTATATTGTAATTGGGAATCATTGTGCCCTTCATCCACCCCAGTCCTTGGTAACCACTAGTTACTTCTCAGTGTCTATGAGTCTACTGCTGTTTTGCTAGGTCCATCCATGTTGTTGCAAATAGGAGGATTTCTTTTCTTTTTTTGTTTTTCTTTCCCCTCAAAAAATCTTTTAATGTGGAAACAATAAATTTCACAGAATAAAAAGGTAAATAACAGTATATATGATCTCATAGAAGAGAAAATGGGTAGTAAGTTCTGAATACACTTTAGGCATTGGGAAAGGGACTTTTCAGTTGTCTTGGCCTAGGTTCTTTAGAAAGTAGACCCTGAGTCTTAGATCAAGAGTTTAGATAAATCACCTTTATTTGGGTGGTGTAAGCCCAGACAATTGATGACGGAGGAAAAGAAAAAAGTAACAAGGCACAGAAAGATGAAATGCTATATGGTGTGATAAGCAGCTTTACAGAACTGACCCCTTCTCTATGGATTGTTGAGAGGGCAGGAGCACCCACCTGGAGGCGGGTGTGTTCACACACTGAGAGGCAGCACATCTGGGGCCAACAACGGGTGCAAGGGGCCCAGTCCAGGAGGAGGAGTTCACTGCCCCTTTATTAAACAAAGGCGAATGCCCTGATTGACAGAGCTTTGCGCCGTAGCCGATTATCAACCCAGTTATCATTCCCTGGAATACAGGATTTTCGTGATGCTTCGAACTCCGCGAAATTCCTGCAAGCTGTTGATTTTGATATGAATGCCCCTACTTTCCATAAGAGATCCCTCACCATGTTTAGTGCTGATGTCCTGGCAGGAGGAGGTATTGGGCTGATACCAAAACGGTTTGGTATAGCTTTTGGTGAAGGAAAACTGTTTTCCATTCCTTTGGCAACAGGAGTGGCTGGCAAAGAAAATGACACTTGCACAGCAGAATCCGTCTTTTCACAGTCTGGAGTTTGCTTTCTGGTTACTTCTTGTCTTTTCTGAGCTGCTAGTTGTTGTTTTAGATCTCTTACTTCATCCTTTAAGTTCTGCACAGAGACCAATGAAGATTCCATTTCACCAAGTTCCCTTTCTAAATATGCATTTCTTTCAAGGGTCTGATTTATCCTTTGTTCAGACTCTTCCAGGGAAACTACTGCTGCCCTTTGTGCACGCTCCAGGTCATCATTGGTTTGCTCCAGCTCTCTCACGTACTTCTGGAACTGCTCCTTAATGGCCCGAGTCTGATTTAAATCATCCTCTAATGCTGTGACCTGCTTGTAGCTTTGTGCGTACTGATGTTCTAGCTTCTCCTTTAATGCCTCCACTTCATATTTCAGCCTTTGGTTATCAGCTTGCAAGTCTCTCTTACTTTGTTCAGCCAGTTGGATATCAGCTTGCGAGTCTCTCTCACTTTGTTCAGCCAGTTGGATATCAGCTTGCGAGTCTCTCTCACTTTGTTCAGCCAGTTGGATATCAGCTTGCAAGTCTCTCTTAATTTGTTCAGCCAGTAACTGTGCCTCCAACTCTGCTTCTAATTCTCTGCTTGTTTCCTGGAATTCCAGTAGCTCATCCCGAGTTTCCTGGAAGCTTTGTTTATACTTGAAGGAAAGTCCCTTCCAGAAAGCAGTTTCCTCCTCTACACTAGAAAAATATGGTTTATTTTCAACGTCCATAGTCAAGAGAGTCTCCAACGTGTCAAAAGGGCACGTTCAGCACCTCTTGGCAGAGGTCTCCGCTCCACTGGCCCGGCAAGGGCCGCCAAGCCGCTCAGCAACTGCTCTCCTCTCCGCAGTTCCAAGCTCTGAGCTCCACTCCGCGCACTCAGTGTCCAGCTACTCACCAGCGCGTCAGGGGTTGCCAGGGAGACGTTCTGTGACGCAAGGGGTGGGGTTCAGAGCATGTGCACTAGCGCGAGGGCAGCCAGGGCGGGGCTGTGGCGGGGAGGGCGTCACAGGGGGCGGGGTCAGGCCCGCAGAGCTCACATCCGTCTGACAGAGGCCTTGTGCACAGGCGCTCCCAAGCACCGTGACGGGCGGGTTTGGGCATGGAAGGTTTCCCTGCATACTTTGCCACTCGGGAATGTGGCGCCACTGTGGATAAAAGTCGGCTTTCAAATCCCTTCAAGTGTTTCAGTGTTCTTGTTCACGTAAGATGAGTCTCGTGTGAGATTTCCCGTCCAAGTCCGTCCCCAACCTCCACATAGAGTATAAGCGGTGTTCAAGCGCCCCCATCACTCTCTCACAAATACCTGTGTGATTTATAGCAGGTCCACTAGCTGAACTTTTTTTTTTCTTCTGCATGTTATTTATTTATAATTTTTTAAAAGTAAGGTATTATTGATAACACTCTTGTGAAGGTTTCACATGAAAAACAATGTGGTTGCTTCATTCACCCATATTATCCAGTCTCCCTCTTACCCCATTGCAGTCACTGTCCATCAGTGTAGTAAGATGCCAAAATATGCCACAGAGTCACTACTTGTCTTTTCTGTGCTACACTGTCTTCCCCATGAACACCCACCCCCACACCATAAGTACTAATCATAATACCTTTCCATACCCTTCTCCCTCCCTCTCCACAGGTCCTTCACATCCTTCCCCTTTGGTAACCGCTAGTCTCTTGGAGTTTGTGATTCTGCTGCTGCTTTGTTCCTTCAGTTTTGCTTTGTTGTTATACACCGCAAATGAGGGAAATCATTTGGTACTTGTCTTTCTCTGCCTAGCTTATTTCACTGAGAAAAATACCCTGGAGCTCCATTCATGCTGTTGCAAATGGTAGGATCTGTTTCTTTCTTATGGCCGAGTAATATTCCATTGTGTATATGTACCACATCTTCTTTATCCAATCATCTACCGATGGACATTTAGGTTGCTTCCAATTCTTGGCTGTTGTAAATAGTGCTACAGTAAACAGGGGTGCATATCTCTTTTTGAATCTGAGAACTTGTATTAGAATGGAATTCCTGGGTCAAATGATATTTCTATTTTTAGTTTATGAGGAACCTACATATTGCTTTCCACAATGGTTGAACTAGTTCACATTCTTTCCAGCAGTGTAGGAGGGTTTCCCTTTCTCTGCATCCTCACCAGCATTTGTTGTTCTTCATTTTTTTGATGCTCACTGGTATGAAGTGATATCTCATTGTGGTTTTAATTTCCATTTCTCTGATAATTAGCGATGTGCAGTGTCTTTTCATGTTGGCCATCTGAATTTCTTCTTTGGAGAAGTTTCTGTTCATTTCTTCTGCCCAGTTTTTAATTGGGCTATTTGCTTTTTGGTTGTTGAGGCATGTGAATTTTTATACATTTTGACTGTTAACCCCTTGTTGGATATGTTGTTCACAAATATATTCTCCCATACTGTAGGATGCCTTTTTGTTCTGCTGATGGTGTCCTTTGCTGTACAGAAGCTTTTTAGTTCGATGTAGTCCCATTTGTTTATTTTTGCTTTTGTTTCCCTTGTTTGAGAATATGCATTTAGGAAAAAGTTGCTCATGTTTATATTCATGAGATTTTTGCCTATGTTGTCTTCTAAGAGTTTTATGGTTCCATGACTTACATTCAAATCTTTGATCTATTTCGAGTTTACTTTTGTGTATGGGGTTAGACAATAATCCAGTTTTATTCTCTTGCATGTAGCTGTCCAGTTTTACCAACACCAGCCATTGAAGAGGCTATCATTTCCCCATTGTATGTCCATGGCTCCTTTATCATATATTAATTGACCATATATGCTTGGTTTATATCTGCACTCTCTAGTATGTTCCAATGGTCTATGGGTCTGTTCTTGTGCAAGTACCAAATTGTTTTGATTAGTGTGGCTTTGTAGTAGAGATAGAAATCAGTGAGCATAATCCCCTCAGCTTTATTCTTCCTTATCAGAATTGCTTTGGCTATTCGAGGTCTTGTGGTTCCATATAAATTTTAGAACAGTTTTCTCTAGTTCACTGAAGAATGCTGTTCGTATATTGATAGGGATTGCATTGAATCTGTAGACTGTTTTAGGCAGCAATCCCATATTGACAATACTTATTCTTCCTATCCATGAGCACAGGATGTATTTCCATTTATTGATATCTTCTTTAATTTCTCTCATGAGTGTCTTGTAGTTTCCAGAGTATAGGTCTTTCACTGCCTTGGGTAGGTTTATTCCTAGGTATTTTATTCTTTTTGATGCAGTTGTGAATGGAATTGTTTTCCTGATTTCTCTTTCTGCTAGTTCATTGTTAGTGTATAGGGATGCAGAAGATTTCTGTGTATTAATTTTCTGTCCCGCAACTTTGCTGAATTCAGATTCTAGATCTAGTATTTTTGGAGGGATTCTTTACGGTTTTTTATGTACAATATCATGTCATCTGCAAACAGGGACAGTTTAACTTATTCTTTACCAATCAGGATGCCTTTTATTTCTTTGTGTTGTCTGATTGGTGTGGTTAGGAAGTCCAGCACTATGTTGAATAAACGTGGGGAAGTGGGCATGCCTGTCTTGTTCCCTATCTTAAAGGAAAAGCTTTCAGCTTCTCACTGTTAAGTATAATGTTGGCTGTGGGTTTTTCATATATGCCCTTTAGTATGTTGAGGTACTTGCCCTCTATCTATACCCATTTGATTGGGAGTTTTTATGAATGGATGTTATTTTGTCAAATGCTTTTTCAGTATCTATGGAGATGATCATGTGGTTTTTGTTCTTCTTTTTCTTGATGTGGTGGATGATGTTGATGGATTTTCTAATGTACCATCCTTGCATCTCTGGACTAAATTCTACTTGATCGTGATGGATACTCTCTTTCTGATGTATTTTTGAATTTGGTTTGCTAATAATTTGTTGAGTATTTTTTCATTTATGTTCATCAGGGAAATTGGTCTGTAATTTTCTGGTGGTATCTTTGGCTGGTTTGATATTAGGGTGATGCTGGTATGAGTTTGGAAGCATTAAGCATTACCTCTTCTACTCTTTTGAAAACTTTAAGGAGGATGGGTATTAGGTCTTCACTAAATATTTGATAAAATTCAGCGGTGAAGCCATTTGGTACAGGGTTTTTGTTCTTAGGTAGTTATTTGATTATGAGTTTGATTTCATTGCTGGTAATTGGTCTGTTCATATTTTCTGTTTCTTCCTTGGTCAGCCTTGGAAAGTTGTATTTTTCTAGAAAGTGGTCCATTTCTTCTAGGTTATCCAGCTTCTTATCATATAAATTTTCATAGTATTCTCTAATAATTCTTTGTATATCTGTGGTGTCCGTAGTGATTTTTCCTTTCTTCTTTCTGTTTCTGTTTAAGTGTGTACACTCTCTTTTTTTCTTCATAAGTCTGGCTGGGGTTTATCTATTTTGTTTATTTTTTCAAAGAACCAGCTCTTGCTTTCATTGATTCTTTCTATTGTTCTATTCTTCTTGGTTTTATTTATTTATGCCCTAATCTTTATTATATCCCTCCTTCTACTGACTTTGGGCCTCATTTGTTCTTGTTTTTCTAGTTTCATTAATTGTGATTTAAGACTGCTTATATGGGATTGTTCTTCTTTCCTTAGGTAGGCCTATATTGCAATATACTTTCCTCTTAGCACAGCCTTGGCTGTGTCCCACAGATTTTGTGGTGTTGAATTAGTTTTGTCATTTGTCTCTATATATTGCTAGATCTCTGTGTTATTTATTTATTTATTTATTTATTTATTTAATTTATTTTTTTGAGAGGGCATCTCTCATATTTATTGATCAAATGGTTGTTGACAACAATAAAATTCTGTATAGGGGAGTCAATGCTCAATGCACAATCATTAATCCATCTCAAGCCTAATTCTCATCAGTCTCCAATCTTCTGAAGCATAATGAAC